ATGTGTCTCCTCACGACTACGACACTAGCCTATCACAGCGTGTAGATCACCGGGAAACCCCGCGCCTGAAACTTCCACCTCTCCTCCAACGTGGATAAACACGTATAATCTACTCTCCGCAATCAGATAAAGGCTTATTCCCAAACAAAAAAACCACCACCACAAGTTATAATAAATGTTATATTATTTAAGGCTAGCTGCCCTCAGCTAAGCACGCGCCTGGGGGTTCACCTCTACCATCCTTGAATCAAGACACACTCACGACCAGAAATGAAACCCTCTAAAGTACCCTTGGGTAACCACCCATTGCCAAATTTAAATTGCACATGCAAATCAAGCTAAGTTTTATTAATTGTAGGGCGGTCAACACACTATTGCAATCCATCCTGGATTCAAAGAGGCGGAGATTCGTCGAGGGTTGTTACAGCTACGAGAGAGAGCAGTGGGACAGAAAGAGATAGAAGAGACTGAGCATGAGAGCTTATAAGAGCAACAGTACGTGAGATGTGCTAGGGTATTAGTTGAACTATGCATAGGAAATTGGAACAGAGGTAAAAGACTTTGAGAGTATGTGAGAGAAATATGAAGTGTCAACATAAATGAACACTCGTGGCGGTATGCTCAGTCTGCAAAAAAAACAAACGTACATACAAAACTGAAGAATTGAAGTGACGACAAAGAAGTTCAGGCGGTGGAGTATTTATTGAACATGAAGCGAGCACAGAGACATCTGAGGACACTGGACCTGAGGGTTCACTAAGAGAATCGATAGAATAGAGAAGATAGTAGGAGAAAGAAAGCTAGCCGGAGTTATGAACAAAAGCCTAGAGAGAACGCATTCGAAAGTATCAGCGTAGTAGAGTGGATATTAAAGGAAATGGATATCATCTACTAAGTTGGTTGAACAAATAACTAAATAAAAGAATATTATACTATAGAATCATAAACTACAATTTATAAAAAACACAAAATGGAATCACAAATTTGTGACGGTAGATGCGCTACTAGCCCGGGCTTTGATGTTCTTATCATACAAATCAATTACATATTACATGAAATAATATATAATCAATAAACTACTATAAAATCATAATACTTCCATATCAAGGACCGGGGAAATTATTTGAGTAGATTAATAAGCCATATTGAGTAATGAGCGCGAATCAATACGTAATAACGAACCCAAAGACACGTACGTCATGGCAGAGAGAAAGCGAAAGTTGGGACGATCCACGACAAGATAAACAGAACAGTTTTGGTTAATCTGTGTGCCTACTATATAAAATATGCCTAATATAATTCTTATAAATCGCTAACCATAATTTGCATAAGAAAAAAATTTAAAATTTCAAAACCCGCTATTAGCACCCTTATTCATTTCACCGATACCGAAAAAAATGAGACAAAGAATCCGTTGAAACCTGAACTGACTAATCGGCATATCCAATTTTTTGCCTAGAGAAATTGCCGGTGGCTCGACAGGTAAGGATCGACTAGGCGTGGTGACGAAAACAGGAAAGTCGGTGTATGAAAATTGGGTGAAAAATATGATAAACAACTGATATAAAACCGTAGGAGACAATTTCTTCCGGTTGTGTACCGTAAAGCCCGAATGTTATATACAGGGACGGAACGGACGTTATCGAAACGGATGACGTCTATCCGAATGAGGAGACGAGAGTATGAACAGGCCAATGGCAATACTGCCATCAGAATGTGTCACATGTGTTAGGCTAATTAAACAATAGATTCGTGTTTTTTACCCCGACGTTTTGACGTCGGAATGTGTAAAACATCTTAAATGAGTTAGACCGATCTCCAGGCGAGTCATATCGACCCACGTGCCGATCTGACCGATCTCCAGGCGGGTAAACTCGCCACAATGCGAATCGAGTTGGCGGGTGAGTCGAGTTGACCTGTGCCCTTAACGGTCCATCTCACTGTAGTGCACTAACTAGAAAATTTGGTAGGTCATTCGTCATTAGACTATATGCGACCATCCACCAACGTCATAAAGCATTTAGGTAGGATGGTAAAGTAAACTTTCATTTACTCGTCATAAATAAACCGTTTTACCCCCCTTGAAATGGATTAGTGAACTTCTTACAGGTTGCATTTCCAATGTAAAACAAACACAGCAAGGTATTGAACAGATACTGAAACACTGCACGTAAACTCACGCAGGTCACGCACATGTTAC